TATTACTTTGAACCCAAGGATTTATCAAATGCTAAGATTGTTCTTTTTCATTCAGAGACCCCCTTGCCCTAAGAGAATCCCACCTTGGTCTCTGGAAAAGGTTACTAAAATTCTTATGGGACCTAATTACAATATAAATCTGAACAGGGATAAATTACTACAGAAGGCAGCCTTCCTTCTAGCAATAGCAACAGGTATGAGAATCAGTGAACTGATTTAAATTTCCAATAATCCATCATTATTGGTATTTTCTGAGGAGGATGTTACCCTCAACCTATTAGGATAAAATGCCTAATGGATGAGACAAGGGTTCCTCATATATTGTGCCCAGTTAAAAATCTTCAGGAATGGTTAACCAGATTCCCTAATCGAGGCCCCTATGTTTTCTCATCAAGGGATGGTAAGAAATTGTCTTCTACTAGTCAAATGACAAAATCTGTATCAATTAGTGAATCAAGCAGACCCTGGCAAGAAATTTTTGGCACATGACACTAGGAAATACGCAGGGTCTGTGTCCTTTCTGTGGCATATGAGCCTCAGTCAGATCAAGGAAATGGGCTTTTGGAGATCTTCAAAAACTTTCAGAGACAGCTATCTTCATCTATCTCTGAAAGATGCTTCAAATGTGGTGGTGCTGGGTTCCCCTCCCCCACCCAGTCAATCTCCACAACCAGGACCTTCTTCCTCATCAGAATAAAGTGAGTATCCTCATTGAGATATGTAAATTAACATTTTTACCTTTCGGTATATGTTCCTAATTTTGGAAATATTATAAACGGTTTATAATCATAATCTGGACCTAAGCTAGCGGAGCCTTGTATGCAAAGTCACCTCCCTCTCCACGTCCTGCTCGGGTATTCAAGCTAGGCGTCTCATTCTGGGGTTTGAACAAAAAGCCGTTTTTTTTCTTCTAAAAACCAATTTTTGTGATATAACCCAGAATGCAACGCCAATAACCAACCCATCTCCACCCCTCGAGATTTGACTTTTGTTTGCTGCTCGCTCTAAGGCAAGAGATGACGGTGGCAGTGCGTATGATGGGGGTGAAGGAGGGGGTTTCGAGAATTGCAATTAAATGCCATGTTGCGACGTGTCCTCCTAATATTACTTATTAAGTAATTATTAGATGTTTTAATTACCTGTATGTTGGCCTGGCAAGTTATTGCTAGGCATTAACATATCTAGTTGTTAAAAGCTAGTATAGACGTTGCATTCTGGGTTATATCACAAAAACTGTTTTTAGAAAAAAACGGCTATTTCTTATGGGGAAAATTGATTCCGTTAACGTCTTGGTTTCCGGTAGCGGAACCACGACGTTAAGTGAGGACTTACTATTCAGTGTTCATGATTGATAAAATAATGATATTGTGAAGAGATTTAGGTTCATGAAGAACAGCACAGTGAAGAGTCAATGACTAATTTGACATTCATCCTCAGAACATATAGTAGCTCCTTTCTAACTCAGACTAATATTGACAGCAGATGGAAGTGGAATCCTCTTATCACAAAACACTGACATAACATAAGTGGCTTATGAAGATTAACTCCTCCTCCTCTCTCTTTTTGAGCATTTGTTTCACAGGCAGCGCTGTAGAAATGTAGGTAAATTAGGTTTAATATCATGGGGAGTGATAAAGAAGAGCAATTTCTGGTTGCTTTGGCTTCCTATCTCAAGGAAGTTTAAGTCAGCTTTCATTTGTGGATGTAGTAGGCAAGTGGTACAGTATTTGTCCCAGTCTTAAGAGTTTCTGGTGAACTAGTACTGTGGCACTATGGTTGACCAGCTATGAATAGGCTGTTGACTTTTTGGGCAAAGTGACAGCAGTTGAGGGTAGTGCATTGTTTCCTGGTGTACAGAGGCTTAGTGTCAGTAGGCTGTATCAACATAGTCCATAATGGGCAGTCAGGCCATTTGGATTCTATTTTCATTTATATTGGTTAGATGTGAAATAGCATGTCTTTCTTTTTACCATTGACTCCTCTGCATCATAATTGGTTGCTCTGTACATTTGATATTTCCATGGGTAATTCTAGGAAGGAGTTTCTTTTCTTGACAAATGTCTATTGTTACCTTATGACCACATTTACTGTTAAAACACCCGATGTCAGGCCACATGTCAGACTCGTCTTCCTGGATTCAGATTTTGGGAGTCTGTCCAGAGGAGGATGTGCAATTTCTGTCGATTGGAATAGATGGAATCCATGTTTCCTGTTCCATCCACTTGCATCTTTGTTGCAAGTTATGTACAGCAGTGCCTAGCCAACCATGGGGGTTAGGTTCCTGAAGAACCCCATGGTTGGCAAATCTGCGGTTGGCAAGATTAATGGTTTATGGGAAATAGGGGGTTAGGTTCCATGGCTGCAGATAACACTCGTCAAAGCCTAAATAAGTTGCCTGTTTCTTCATTAAACAATACCTGTACATGTATTGTACATTTAATTAAATTTGAGTCAAATACATATAAAATAGCATATAAATTTTACAGTACATCTCCGTGGAGATGGCATTTGCTATAAGATCAGAAAAATTAAGTGTGTGTGCGTGCGTGCACTTGGCAGATCTCCAAGTTAGACTGTCCCTGTTGCTTGTCACTACATCCCTTTAGCTCTTCCCCCTACCAGAACAAGCTGTGTTAGCTATTCTTTTTTTCAACTTGTATTTTTGGGTAGATATACTGTACATAATTTTTTTTTCTTTACTCTGTTACATGCACATGTAGCAAAAACAAAGCAGCGGGCTCCCATAGTAGGGCTATGACACACTCTTGTAATTTTCTCTCCTTTATTTACTCAAGAAATTGCCCGAGGAAGGAAAGGCTGTGACCTAGATCAGACATAACTAGTCATTATACATTGTACATACAAAACAAGCATCAATTTTTGTCATAATCACATATTGGCACAACACATTACAGTAATACCCCGCTTTACGCATTTTTTTTTACGCGTTTCTACATTTACGTGGTACCCCGCCAGAACCAGAATTCCCACTTTACGCGGTGCATCAACTCATTTACGCGGGAAGCGGCGCGGGCAGGGTGCGCACAAGGTCGCCAGTCATCAAAACATTACCGAGTTCTTCACCCACCACAGTCGGCCCAAGTCAATGATAGTGAGGACATGGACTTATATGGACTTTGAGGGGTTTGGCAAAGAGGCCCTGCAAGCCTCTGTGGTGAATAGTGATACAATTGATACAAGTGATACAGGAGAGGGCCAATAATCTGCCCTCTGCCTCGGAACCAACCCTCCTTCCCCGTGTGCCCAGGCATCCTTTCTACTAATGTAAGTGTTAAAAAACCTAATATTACTGATATTTCTCTTAATTATTAATTGTGTGTGCATACCATCATAAAATTAAGATGTTATTTTTACTACAACGTAGGTATTGTGTCTGAAAAAGTGGAGTTTGGGGGTCGGCCCAGTCTCTATTTCAATCAATCCCATATGTTCTGTTGTTCCATTTACTCGTTTCCCATTTTACGCGGGCCTCCACGGGTTCAATTGACCGTGTAAATCGGGGTATTACTGTATAGTGTGTTTTTTCTCAGCTGAGAAAAGATGCCCCGCCCCTCCTCAAAAGTTATAGCTGATTGGCTGTTGCAAACCTGTCCGATTTTGTCCTGAGTAAGGATGTCTTTCTAAATGAAATTATTCATTATCGTTACAATGACCGTTTTTTTTACGAGAAAGATATTTAGCTAAATTATATAAAGATACATGCATTCATTATTTCAAACATAAGCACGTAGGAAGTTTATCAGAAGTATTACAGTATACACGAGTTAACTGTTCAACGGGTAGCAATTTCACGCTTTCGGAGGATGCATTTAATATACAGTACAGGGTATACTTATTTTACCCACAATAAGGCATACTAAGACAAATTACATATCAGTAATACTACATTATGCAAAAACTACATTTTAGAAGATCAGAATCACATTGAAATATTACACGACCGTTAGCAGAGGTGGGATAATAAAATATTTAGAATGATAAAGATAAGTTTGATGAGAAAAGAAAATATTTTTTATGTGAAGCTCCAAGCTCCTGTGAAATCTACAAATGTTTATTCAGTGTGTTCTGTGAAGTGAAAACCACAATATGGTTCCAAAATATAAAGTTTCTTTTGCATTCTATGGTGACCTGATAACAAGTTTGAGGAAAAAATCAACTGATGCAAAAATTTCAACTCCATCTTATGTCACTCTAAGATGGAGTTGAAATTTTTGCAGCATTATTTAATAATGATATTCATCTGAATACTGTAAGCCCTATGAATCAAACTAAGTTATTGTTTTTCAATAAATAGCAGAAAATAGTTTGCTCTCTTATATTTAAGATGATGTTTACCATCATAACATTGCCAAAATATATTTGAATCAAGTTAGGTAAGTTTAGTTAGGTTATTATGATCCTATTGATTTACATTTTGTTTTTTATTGATCTACTTACTGGTAATTGTCTGTGTACAGACCAAATGGAATTTTCAAAATAACCCCTTCAGTCAGAGGGACTCACCTGGTATGCCCTCTTGCACCAAGCATCACATAAGAAGGATATACCTGGTATACATCCTTTAATCTCCATGACAGTAGGGAAAGCTGGGAAGGTTTTTTATTATTATATGCAACACATTATTGAATAATATGGCATCAGTAACTTGACTATTATGGTGAGAACAGGGTTATATCACTGAGATATGTAGTAGTGTGTGGGTGGTGGCAATCAGCTGAGAGGCATGAGGCAGATTTACCTCAACACATCTGTGGCTTCCCTTTCTCTTCTCATGCTGGTCCAGACATCAGAGTGTGGCAGATTTGAGAAGCGCAAAAGTTCCTACTCAAATCAGTATGTGGGGAAAATATAATGAAGATTATCACGTAAATGCAGTTTACGCAGGTAATGGCAGTTTGTTTTCAGTCACATTTCTGTGACTTGCAGTCAGAGGGTTAAGAATATAATATAGCACCTATTTTCCTTAACGAGTTTTACAGGTTCCTCAGCTGCTGTCAAGTTCTGCAAGAATAGGTGCAACAAGTGATGATGTTGGATACCAGTACACTCTAAACAACTCTCGACTAGCACTTGCTCAGAGAGCATTCTATGAAGAAAATGGCTTCTTGGTGATTCCCAACTTAGTGCCTGATGACAAAATTGATAAATGGAAGTAAGTTGTGAATAATTATCAGGATATATTTCTTTCATACACAGGATGGCCACTCATCTTTGAAATTGGGGAAATGTTTGGGAATTTATTTTTCCAGGGAAGGGCAGGGAAAATATACTATATTACTGTAGCATTTGCATCATGTCAGGTCTAAGGCTGGTTTCACACTGAAGAGACAAAACTGTTAGCAACACTGCCAGTCATGTCTGATGCACAAAAATACAATGGATCAAATGAGAGCATCCACACTGAAGAACAAGACAAGAGGCATCAAAGCAGGAACAGTCATTACTGGTACTGTCTACTCGCCCTTTGTCTGGTCTAGTCACAACTCTTATAACCCAGACAATCAACACGGGTGAATGTGATGCCAAATGATTGAAATCTCTCTTGGAAGAGAGGCGGTAGATTTTTGGTTATTCAATGAAGGAGCATAACAACAGAGGAACTCTAGATAAGCTGTGGTAGAAATTTTCAAAAGAAATGAGTGTTTCTAGTAAATAATATTTTGTATTTTATTAATATGTATACACAGTAGCCTAGCAGCAGCTGACCCACAGGTCATCTTGCTAGTGGGTTGAGATAGTGAAACACAGTACAGGTATATATAATTATTAAACAAATTCCTTACTCTTGAATTAAAAGTGCCAACAGCTTAATCAGCAATGGATGGATTCATTTTGCGAGGGTACATATCCATTACTGTACAATATTGCTATAAAAATAATTCACATTTTGCATGTGTACGTAGAGTGCACACTTCCCACCAATTACAGTAAATTTCAACTTTTTTACCTTGAAAGTTGTCATGAAATTGTTTACTTCAACATTGTTGGATCAAGGACATATATTTTTCATATAGCAAATGCAAGTTGATTGAAATTTAATTTCTTTTTAAACTACAGATATAGATATACCTTGTTTATATGTTTGATCTAATATGGAAAGTCAAATGCTTCAGTTGCTTGTTGCTTTTAATCTTCTTTTACCCAAATTAAATTTCTTTATAAAAATAATAGATTCTGTTAATAACTCCCAATCACATTTAAATTATTATGAGAAAGGTGTTTACTCACCTCAAATTCCTCAGAAATCTTTCTTCAGGTGTAATGCTTCTTCTACTGTTTGTGTAACCGTTTATTATTTTATCCACAAGTTGCAGTAAACAATCAAATGATTGAGATTTCATCCAAGTAAAATTTATAAATTTCTCCTCATCCTTGTGGAGCTCTAAAATAAGGTCTGATATTAAATCGATGTTCTTTTTCTCTTGAGAAGATGAATCCACTATCTCTTCTCCCATGGCTCCAAATAACACCAATTTTACACCATATTGCTACTGCACTTTCTTTGTTATTGACAACTGACTGCCCAAGTTCTGTCTTGCCCTTTTGTTCAGTGTGTCTTGTCAGAACAGTTTTGTCTTGTCTGCTCAGCATGAAACCAGCCTACTTGCATTCAGGTGATAGAAAATTTATGAACATTACAAATACCTGTAGTAGTTATTTCTATAAAGTACAGTATAGAAAATACATTGTGTGTATGTGTTCCATAAGCACTTCCACAGTTTTGAAGATAAGAACTGAAATTTGGTAGGGATGTATGGGTGGCCTAGGGGCTGGTTGTGCATTATCTTCTGTCCCGTTCATGGACGGAGGGGGGGCGGGGGATACTGGCACAACAGAAATGCCACAGTCGCTGGCCAAAACTGACACACTGTCTCTACATATTTTTTTAATAACTGCGGTATGTTTCATAACATATTTATGATAACGTGTTGGTGTTTATGACAATAAGATGGTATTTATGCCAATGTGGTGATATTTATGCCAATGTGGCGATGTTTATGACACTGTGGTGGTATTTATAATAGCCTACCGGTAGTGGTGTTATAGCATTTTTATAAACTTGTATTTATGACCTTTGGTGGTCCCTGTGACTACCGAGGTGTTATATCTGGTCATGTCTATGACTGCGTGGGGTTGAATTTTATTATGACAACGTGGTGATGTTATGATGGTGGTGGTGATGTGACTGTGGTAGTGTCAATGACTGTTCATGTATGACTGTGGTTATATATTTTTATAACAATTTCAGACACTGTTATGGGCTCATCTGTATGATGAAAGCTACATTCATTATGGATTCACAACTGTTGTTAAGAATAGGTGTGAACTGCCTCAGTGTGTTTTATGCCACAAGGTCTTGTCACCGAAGTGCATGAAACCAAACTTTCTCAAGCAACATTTGAATAGCTTAGCTATCATCCAAATCCGAAAAGTAAGAATTCTGCCTTCTTCAAGCAAAAGGAAGAGGGACTCAGTCACTCGGGGCAGTTCAGTCAACATAATGAAGCTGGAGTACGTGCATCAAACATGGTATCACTGAGAATTACACAAGAAAAACCACACGATCTTGCCGAGAAGTTGATCATCCCTTGCTGTAAGGATATAGACCGTTGTGTCATCAGATGTGATGCCGAGCAGAAAGTCACATCAGTACCTCTCTCAAATGACACTGTCCATCAACGAATAACAGAGATGTCTGAAGACATCAAGCAACAAGTCATTGCTGAAATGCAGAGAGCATCTTTAGTCAAATTTGCAATCCGACTTGATGAGTCGACAGATGTGGCTGGTTGTTCCCAACTACGAGGTCTGTCCGGAAAGTATCCAGCTATTTACTATTAAAAAAAATATTGCTTACCTAGGACAATGGCACCTTAGTCCACTTCAAAGTACTCCCCTTGGGACCGCACACACTTTTCCCAGCGTCCCTTCCACTTTTCAAAACAGTCTGCAAAGTCCTCTTTTGGGATCTCCATCAGCTGCCTCGTCGCATTCTCCTTAATCCTTCACTTCACTTTTCACGTCACTATAGTAGGTCTAAATGGTTGTAAAATGGGAACGTTGGGGTTGGGTCTTGGGTGCCTGGAACCAATTAGAATAAATCCCATCGGTTCTGTACTTTCGTTATCGTGTTTTTCGTTATCATGCACTCAGTGCAGTCCCAATTAGGCGTGATAACCAAGGGATGACTGTATATATATCCCCCGCGTTATGGAATTTCGCTCCTACGGAATTTGTTAATTACAGTTGTACCCCACTTAACGCGGTCAATTGAACCCAGAGGGTCCCGCGTTAAGTGAACAACAGAACATATGGGATTAATTCCAATAGAAACCGGCCCGACCCCCAAACTCCACTTTTTTAAGGCACATACCTATGTTGTAGTAAAAATAACATCTTAATTTTATGATGGTACATGCACACAATTAATACTTAAGAGAAATAGAGAAATACAGTCGCCAAGTTAATGTCCATTCAAATAATGGACTCAACTCCCTCTCACACTACACTGCTTGGGGGAAAACCACTAAATTTTAATAAATAATACCTCAAACTAAAGTTAGGATAATACAATTGACATTGCTGGATTCCTTGTAAGACCAGGAATATTTTGAATATAAATGTCATATATTTTGCACAAAAGATAACATAGTTACCTAGAGAAAAATTTTTATCTAAAAATTGTATGTTTAATGCAAAATATATGATGTTTATATTCAAAATGATCACCAAATTATAAGAATTCCAGCAATGTAAATTATATTCTGACCGGGTAATTTGTATGAATTTTATGAGCTAAAACAAATATCTTCAGTTAATAAAAAAAAAAATAATTCTTCACGGGTAACAGATGGTCGGTCGGTCGGTCCCTCCCTCCCCCCCACCCCCCACCAACCGTCCCAAGGAGATGTGTGGGATAACCACTAAATTTTAATAAATAATACCTCAAACTAAAGTTAGGATAATATAATTGACATTGCTGGATTCCTTGTAAGACCAGGAATATTTTGAATATAAATGTCATATATTTTGCACAAAAGATAACATAGTTACCTAGAGAAAAATTTTTATCTAAAAATTGTATGTTTAATGCAAAATATATGATGTTTATATTCAAAATGATCACCAAATTATAAGAATTCCAGCAATGTAAATTATATTCTGGCCGGGTAATTTGTATGAATTTTATGAGCTAAAACAGGCAGTCAGGCAGGGTGGCGGGTGGGGCAAATCTAAAAATAGCGTCTCGAGCCGGACACTCACCGCGTATATGTGGAAAAAATCCGTGTTAAGTGAAAGTTCAGCTCTGGCGAGGCACCGCGTATATGATAAAACGTGTTAAGTGAAACCGCGTTAGGCGGGGTAATACTGTATGACCAATAAATTCGCATTACGGCCCGTAAATCCTCCCTTACGGAAATTGGGGTAAATTTTAACAATTAAAGAAAAAAATCATAATATAAAATTATAATTTTTTTTTTTAAATGGTAATTTGTTTGGTGTGGATTTCTTGGTGTTTGCTACTGCCAAGCGAGGCGTCGCCATGTGGAGTCACAATATGGGGGTAGAGGGTGTCCTGATGTGGTAAATGTCCAGATGAACCGAGGGACTCGTGTCTGTTACTTAATCTTATGGGGAAAATTAGGTTATGTTCCACAACTACTAAAAGTCAACAGTAATGCTATAAAAATTTTGGAAAAATCATTACAATACTCTAATGTGGGTTAGAAATAAAGGTAATATAATATAAAACTATAAACATAGATATATGAAGAGCATGGGTGTTTGTGTGGAAAGTGAAAGTGTGTGGAGTGGCTGACTCACCACTCCAGCCGCATCCCATGACATCACATACAGCACAGTAGACACACATACACTGTGCCATGTTTCACAACCATTTATAGAACATTAATGCTATAAAAGTTATAGAAAAACAATTAAAATACTCTAATGTGGCTTACAAATAAAGATAATAGAATAATATAAAACTATAAAAAGAAAAAAGAAATAACTTGGGTGTGAGTGGGGGGAAAGTGAGCTGCCTGACAACTGAGGAGTCCTCCATTCTTCTGCCTCGAACCCTCCCTCCCTCACATACACACACACATCATTTATATAGAAGTTTGGTGTTAATACAGTAAAACCAAAAAT